ACATAATTAAGCAATGTTTAAACCAATCAAGCAATGTTTAAACAAGAAGGTGTTTTCATCAAAACAAATTAGTGTTTTCACATACTTTCCCCCTGTTTTGATGTAAAGAACCTTCAGTTTCTCTTGCGCTTTGAAGATCCGGCAACTTCACTGATGCCCTTCATGTTCCCACACAGTTCTTTGATGCGTCTTAAATTTTCACGTCTTTCTTCTGATTGAGCATCATTTGAGAAGTGGTCAACAACTGTACCTATAACTTCTGTTCCATCCAGTCCTGAGCTGGATAGAAGTTGTGCTGAGTTTTCCGGATTTCTTTGCTGTGCTTCAAGGATTAGATTTGTCAAGTTCAGATGAGAAGGAATATAAGATACTTCTCCTTCTTTGATTGCAATAGGGAGCTGTGGTATTGGAGATGGACTGTGTTGTTGGAGAATTACTTCCATCTTGCGGTTTCTAGAGTTTGCACCAATAAGTCTGAACAGCTTGTATGCTTCCTTTTGATTGTCAATGATCACCTTCAAGTAATCTTTGGTTACTACCTAATTTGCAGAAGCTACTGCTAGGGCTGATATGATGTCCATTTGGAGAAGGGACATCTGTTTTTGGAGACTAATTGTGATACTCGCTATTTGCTCTTTGACTTTGTTGATCTCGTTGAGATGAAGCTGACTGTCAGAGGCATAAATTTCCATCGTGTAGCTTACAGTTTCACTCAATAGAGAGATAATCTCCAGAGTCTTCTGCACTGATTTGCTTATTTCTTTGAGGTCTGCGCTGTGTTTTCCTTCAGATTTCTCTATTAACTGGGTGTGCCTGACTTCCATTTGTTCTATCTCTTGCCTAAAGGAGGCATGTTGAGATGCTAGGGCTGATTCAATCAGCCCTTGGACCTTATTTGTCCAGATTTCCGGTATCTCATCCGGAAGAGCAGGGGTGGAAGAGCTATGGAAATGAAAGTTGGTTACCTGATGAGATGATGGTGTTCTTTGGAAGAGTTTCATAGGAAGAGATTCAGCATCTTCTTGGACATCTTCTTCATCAGTAACCTTCAGTGTTCTTTCAGATTCTCCTTCTGTTTCAAGCACAAAATTTGATATATCCCTAGAGAGGGAGTCCCTTTCTTCAGCTGTATTCTCTTCTTCAAAGATGGCTACTTGAGTTTCAGAGACCTCTAGTTCTGCCATTTGAGTTTCTTTTGCAGCTTCTCCAGAATTTCGTTTGTGCTTCAACAGCTTGCTCCATTGTTTCTGGAAGAGCTGACTGTTCCAGAATTTCAGCTGACTTTTCCGGGATCTCAATTTCAGTAGGATTGGAGATCTCACAAGGAGTGGTGAGAATCTCCAAAACTTGAGATTGGATTAGCGGCTGAAATTCTTCTTCATCTGCTGTTTCCTGGTTCTGTTCTTGGGAGGGAGGGGTTGCCTTCTCTTGAACAACTTCAGTCAAAACCATTTCAGAAGCATGTGAAGTTTCCTGAAATGCAGGTGAGGTTTCCGGAAATGTTTGGAAATCCTCAGCTGTTGCTTCAGAAGTGAGAGCCACTTGATCTTCTGTAACTTTTGAGAAGACTGGCTTGAAGACTGCAGTGTCTTCATCATCTGCTTCACAGTCTGAAACTGGCGTATTGGCCAGGTATTCGAGATGCAAGTCTTCAAGGTTCCTTTGCCATACCCAGCATTCATCCAAAATCTGTTCACAGTTGTGGTTGACTGGTATTCCTAAGCACTTCTTGATGATTTTCTCATTCTTCAGATGTTGGTCCCAATTCAACAGTTGCTCTGCTAAATTTCCAACTTTCCAGGCTTTCCAATCATAGTATAGCTGCCAGAATTGGTTATCTGCATCATCTGTTTGATGCTGAGATGAGGTTGGAAGGCTTTGGACTTGAGGAATTTCTTCTTCAAATTGGTGAGGGCTCTGGTTACGAGCAGATGTTTCCTCAGCAGGTTCCTTTTCCTTCAACTCATCCGGATTGACATTTCCAGATGTTTAGGGGGAGTTGATCTTCCTCTTCTTCTTCCTTTGAAGTTCTCCTTGGTCAGAGGATCCTTCCTCTTCTTCAAGGTTTATTGGAGCAAGATTTTGTGGTGCTTCAATGGAGGGAGACACCACTTTATTCCTTTTGGTAGTCTTCGTCATATGGATGAGTGGGATGTTATCTGAAGAGCTTTCTTCTGCAGTGGCACTAGTGCCAGCTCTGTTTTCCCCTTTTGTAGACAGATAGTATAGCCAGTATCTTTCTTCATACTTCTTTCCTTTAGAAGCAATACCCATAGATCCCAAAATATGTCCAAGGTATAGTCCTTGACAGAGATATTTCTGGTTGGGCTTTCCCAAATGCTTTGAGATGGAATTGAAAAAGTGTGCAGCCCAGTTTACCTTAGTTTTGGTAATGAGAGAGTTGATAATGAAGGCTCTCTCCTAGGTGATGTCATCGGCATGACCTCCACTTCCACACTCGAGGCAAGCGAT